CGCCCGTGTCTTCGGAGAAGGTGAATGGAGACTTCTCAGAAGGCGCGAGATCTTCTGAGAAGCCCGGCCCGCCTCCTGAGAAGGCCTGCCACCTCTCACTTCCCCCCTGGGCTCGCCGCCAAAGGTGGGGTCGGAGGATCGCGCCGCATCGACGACGCATCGCCGGTCAGGCTCTATGTGGATTCCGGCTTGTGCCCCCGCGCCGACGTCGCCGATGCATCGCTGACGTCGCCGATGCATCGCCGATGCGGCGCGATCCTGTGACACCATCTGTCAGGAGGGGAAGAAACACACAGACACAATTAATTGTCGACCCTCCAGAAAATATAGGAAAATATGGGAAGTGGTGGGGAAGACAAAAACCCAGAAAATATATGAAAATATGGAGAATCTGTTTTATTTGTGTGTCTTTATTTGTGTGTCCCAGGGCCCCTTCAATCTGCCCCGACCCCATCTGGCAGGCCTTCTGAAAACGAGTATCGATGACGCGCCGCCGTTCGGAGCCACTCCGCGGCGTGCTGCTCGGCCTCTGTCCACAGCCCCGGTGCCTGTGCATCAGTCGCGCGCCGACGGGTTCCTTGCGGCGGCGTGTCATGGATACAGTCGGGGCCCTGAAGAAGGAACCCTTTTCGTTGGGGATGGGCTCCGTGTTCCTTAATTGTTTCGCAGTTTGCCTTGGATCTTCCTGAGGTTTTCGATACGAAATTGAAGTTCAACTTCTGGAAAATAGGGGCCTCGTTCCTTATCTAGGGTTCCTTAGGTCAACGCCTCGACTGTAGTGTTTTTGCCCCCGCCCCCCCCACTCAACCCCTACACGAGGAGCCCTCAAGGATCCAGGCTGCCCAACTGGGTACGAGGATCGCGACGCAGCTCCGACACATCGGCGATGCGGCCCGATTTAGAGCCCGGCGTTTTTGTTTGCATAACGGCGTCGGCGGTGGTGTCGTTTTCCGACCCTATCTCTTCCAGATTTATTTTGGGCGGCTTCCCAAGGGGGAGAAGTTGGAGGAGGAGGGTCTGCCAGTGTGACTGGCGCCTTTTCAAAACCTTCCGACGGTTACTCTCTGCCGTTGAAGGGGGCGGGGGGACATGGGACTGGGGCTGGGGGTGAGGCTTCATTTCTCTCGTCCTCGCCCTTGTGTTGTCCTCGGCTTCTTGCTTCCACTTGGACTTGACTTCTTTCGTGTTGGGATGGGCAGTACTTTTCACATGTCTTGTGGGTGCGAGTGAGCGAGAGAGGATGAGCTGGAGGAGCAGGAGGGATTGGAGGAGGGGCGCTGTTGGAGGAGGAGTTGGAGGAAGAGTTGAAGTAGCAGCAGGGTTAGAGGCGGCATTGCATGTTTTGGGGTGTTTTATTTCGTTTTGCCTCCACACGCCTTGGGGGAGGGGTGAGGAGGATGATGTGGAGCAGTTGTACGATGATATGAGCTAGGGGGACATCGAAGAGCGGGGCCTCCAGCAACCTCGCGAGGAAGAGGTCGGGATGGAGGAAGAGAGGGATAAGGAGGATGCAGAGGATGATGACTATCCGAGGATCAGTGGCCGCTCTTTTTGTGCGCTTTTGGCCTTCTCCGGGCCTCTGGGCGCAATTGAGGAGTTTGGAGGAGGAGGAGGGGGAGGAGGAGGAGGAGGAGGAGGAGGAGGAGGAGGAGGAGGAGGAGGAGGAGAAGGAGGGAGGAGGAGGAGGAGGGGGGGGGGAGGAGGAGGAGGAGGAGGAGGAGGAGGAGGAGGAGGAGGAGGAGGAGGAGGAGGAGGAGGAGGAGGAGGAGGAGGAGGAGGAGGAGGAGGAGGAGGAGGAGGAGGAGGAGGAGGAGGAGGAGGAGGAGGAGGGAGGAGGAGGAGGAGGAGGGGGAGGAGGGGGAGGAGGGAGGCAGGAGGAGGCGGGAGAGAGGAGGAGGAAGAGGAGGAGGAGGAGGATAACTAGGCTTCTTCTGATCGTGTTCTCACTCTTGAGCCTTCTTCGTGTGCCTTCTCCGGCTGGGCGTCGTTGCTCCTGCGGCCTGCAGCCTGGCACAGCTGCGGGGTGCGCCCAGCAGGCCACGGTCCACCGGCCACCGCCTGACTCCCTCCCCCCCCGTCAGGGGCAACGACAGGGTGGGATAGGCATGGGAGGGGACGCATCAACCCCCACTCGTCTACTCACGGGCCCGATCGCCCACCGGTGCCCAGGAACGTGCGGACCCACTACGGGTCTATCACAGATCCATCGGCGATGCATCGCCGATTCCGGGTCGATGTTTCCTATGCCAGTGCACCCCTACGCGCCGGTCGTTGAAAGTAGGTTTTTTTCGGGATTCCCAGATCCCAATCAATAGCAAGTGCCTTCCCATGTCAAGAGTCGATCTGTTGTAGCCAGCCGCTGCTTTATCCGCCTTCCTTCCTATTTCATGTTCCCACTAACTTCTTGCGACTGGCGGGCAACCCTGGGAGATCTTAAGTTTGACAGCGTCCCTCGCCTGTTTCTCGGCGGGGAACAAGCTCGCCCCTCCTCCTCCTCCTCCTGCTCCTCCTCCTCTTCCTCCTCCTCCTCCTCCTCCTCCTCCTCCTCCTCCTCCTCCTCCTCCTCCTCCTCCTCCTCCCCCCCTCCTCCTCCTCCGCCTCCTCCTCCCGCTCCTCCTCCTCCTCCTCCTCCTCCTCCGCCTCCTCCTCCTCGTCCTCCTCCATTCCTTCTCCGCATAGAAAACCTCTCCCTGTCGCACCCCGAGGCTAGACTTCCTCACCATTTATGATACTGAAGCTTAACAAGTGACAACAGTTTCACAGATGGAGGGCGGGTGGTTTTCAAAATGTGACTCTCGCCTTAGCGCCGCGCGCATTCGTTTAAACAAATTGCACGAGCTTCCCATATTGAGGGCGGGCCGTTTTCAAAATGTGGCCCTCGCCATAGCACCGCGCACATTCGCTTTAAACATTTGCACATTTTGAGGGTTGGCCGTTTTCAAAATGTGGCTGTCGCCTCAGCGCCGCGCACATTCGTTTTCCCAAATTACAAGAATTTCACGGATTGAGGGCGGGTAGTGTTCAACATGTGTTTTTTTTTTTAGCGCCGCGCACATTCGTTTTAAAAATTTGCAAGAGTTTCACACATTGAAGGCGGGTGGTTTTCACAATGTGGTTCTCGTCTTAGCGCCGCGCACATTCGTTGTACAAAGTTGCAGGAGTTTCACGGGTTGAGGGCGGTTCTTTTTCAACATGTGTCTCTCACCTTAGCGCCGCGTGCATTCGTTTTTTAATACAACGTTGCAGGAGTTTCACGGGTTCCAATGATCAGCGTAACAGACATGGTGTTTTGGAAGGATTCAGGATTATGCGGGCACAACAGGTATTTTGATTCGCTGTGTTGAAGTCCCCCAAACGGTGTTCTGGTACGATTCTGGACCGTCAAGACGCAGCAGTCAGGATGACACATGGCGTTGAACACCGAGAACAATGTTTTGGCGCGCTTCAGGATCTTCAAGCGGTTGTCTTCCAACGAGGCAGTTCCCTCAATGGAAATGAGCCGCTGTGGGGGCCTATGAAGAGGGAGCTTGGGGGGAGGGTCAATTCCAACCTCGTTGATGACTCTTGGGTTTCCACTGGTCCACCTTCTCCTCCTCCTTCTGCTCCTCATCCTCCTCCTCCTCCTTTTCCTCCTCCTCCTCCTCCTCCTCCTCCTCCTTTTCCTTCTCCTCCTCCTCCTCCTCCTCCTGTTCCTCCTCCTCCTCCTCCTCCTCCTCCTCCTCCTCCTCCCCCTCCTCTTTCTCCTCCTCCTCCTCCTCCTCCTCCTCCTCCTCCTCCTCCTCCTCCTCCTCCTCCTCCCTCTTCTCCTCCGCCCCGTTGCCTCGTGCAGGGGGCGAGGAGGCCAAGGCCTCCCGAGGGGGGCCGCCCTCGGCCCTGGGCCTCCCTCGGAGGCCGCCGCGCCCCCGGGAGGGGGGGGGGGCGGGCGCGACTGGGGGCGAGGAGGGAGGAGGGAGGAGGAGGGGGGAGGAGGAGGGAGGAGGGAGGAGGAGGAGGAGGAGGAGGAGGAGGAGGGAGGAGGAGGAAGGAAGGAGGAGGAGGCGGAGGAGGAGGAGGAAGGGGAGGTGGAGGAGGAGGAGGAAAGGGAGGAGGAGGAGGAGGAGGAGGAGGAGGAGGAGGGGGAGCGGTCTGGGGGATGGGGGCCAGGAGCTTTGGGGGCCCCGTTCGGCCACGCATTGCTCGTTTCGATTCCTCCGGTTCGATTCGATTCGATTTCGATTGCCTCCGATTCCGATTCGATTCGACTGCGGATTCCGATGTGGGCTCCGGTTTCTCAACAAGAGCCTATTGTCCTGCCAATTTCTACGGATTCGACTTCTCCCGACTCGGCTGCCGATTTCCTCCGATCCGATTTATTTCGATCGCCGAGTCGACTCATCGATTCGATTCTGGGCTCGCCCGGCCACGCGCATAGGGGAGCAGCGGGGAGCAGGGCAAGCTAGGTGCGCTCACGCCTCATCCGGCATCCTGCGACAGGGGGGGAGTTGAAAGTTCGTGTGCATGTTATTCTATTGCGGGGCGGGAGTGCGTCTCCACACAGATGCAGGGCCGGCGCGTGCAAAGAAGCAGGGGTGCTTCTGAGAAGCCTTTCCCCCGTCCCCCTATCCCCCCCCGGTGCGCGCGCCGCTAGAGATCGGAGTCAGGGAAGGAGGAGACTGGCGAGGGCGCCAGTCTGTGACGGAGTCCGGGTGGCAGAGTGCCCCACCACCAGTCCTGGACAGAATCCTGATGCCGGAGTCCTCCCCCCTCCCTCCCTTCGGATGCAACTCCTGGGAGGTCAAATTCTGACTTTGCCCTGGTCCGAATCCGGCTTAATCTCGCTTAATCTGGCTGAATCCCGCTTGATCCGGCTTAATCCCGCCTAACCCGGCTCAGTCCAGCTTAATCCGAGGCCCAATTTGGCGTAACAGCCCCCCGCTGGTGCTTAATCTTCCTTAGTCCTTCCGACGAAGACCTCCCAGTAGTTGCCTCCTAACCTTCCCCTCGCGTGCTTACTTGCAGGGATGGCTGATTTCACCGACGCCGCGTACAACAAGTACCATGCTGGCCAAGGTGCGGGCGTCCTGATCGGCAACTGGCACGAGGAGCAGGCAACACGGGGGGATGCATGGAGAAAGGACGACCGCCCAGAATACCGGGCCACGCAAGCTGCATGACCGCATTTATCACGGCTGAGCTGTTATATGTTTCGCGCGAGATCGATAAGTGCACACATGCACGTTGATCTAGAGAGAGAGGGGTCGATATCGGTGAACATGTAATACCTACACCAAGCGAGAAAGAGAGAGGAAGAGAGAGAGATATCAACATAAAGACACATTCCGAGAGATAGAGAAAGAGAGAGAGAGAGGGAGAAACACATCGAGCGAGAGAGAGAGAGAGAGATGGAGACGTCGACATGAGGGGCGATAAGGTGGGCGGGATTGTTATAAGTATAATGGTTTCTCGGGCTATAGTGGCGATGATGCCGCGGATATTGGCGTCGCTCACGATCGTGGTGACAATGATGGCAATGACGCTGATGATGACGTGACGGTGGTTATGACGATGATGCAGATTATGGTGACTTTGATGGTGCCGATGATTATGGCGCTGAATAGGTTGGCGATGCTGACGACGGGTAGGATGATGAGGGGAGCAATGTGGTCATGTGATTTGGGGCATACATCGCGCTTGTGCTTGTAAAATTACAGTGTGCATCTGCATGTGCCCAGCTGTCTGCGGCAAGTCCCACCTTTGTTCCAGCCCATCACTTGGCGTGACGACCTTTCGCGCACCGCCGAGAAGGCCGTCACATGTGACATTCGTGACCCCCCTTAGGAGGAGGAAAAGTAGGACAAGGAGGAGCACGAGTTTGAGGGAGAGAGAGAGAGAGAGAGAGAGGTAGAGAGAGACTGTATATCTATATAATAACAATGTGTGTAGAAATCAAGTAGACAGCGAGGAGGACGAAACCGACGAGGGGGATCACATCTAGAAGTTAAGTGTTGCCTCTGAGGTAGTACCAGCGTGCCGTTGGATAACAGGATGCCTGAGTTCAATGGGCTTCAAACCTTTAGGGGCATGTGTGGAGCAGGAGCGGTGCCAGAATGGACTAATAGTGGAGTGATATTGGGATGTGTAGTAAGAGCGGAGCGACAAAACAGTGGGAATGAAGCACGGCCGTGGCCAGAATGGAGCAAGACTGTAACACTAACAACATAAACAGAAGTGGGGATGGGGCAACCATGGAGCATCATTGGGGTAGGCAGTATGGCAAGAATGGGGCAGTAATGGATCAAGAGCGGAACACACGTGGAGCAGCCATGGGGCAGCCACGGCGCAATCATGAAACCAGTGTAGCATACGTGTAGGGCAAAAACGGAGCATTGCAGTCACTGGAATGGAGTCGTGGGAATACCAACAGACATATTTTAATCATAAGTGATATTGAACATCGTCAGTTGGCTGTATCTATCTGCGCATAGTCATGATGCCCAGGCGAGTTGATCGATCTACTAAGTGCTGTGGCAATGATGCAACATATGTGTTGTTCAGGGAGGCTGTGTTGTACCCGTGTTCCTCGATAGGGGCGAGCTGGCGAAAGCAGGGAGAGATAATTGAGCAAAACTGCGCAAGAGTGCATTATCAATAAGGGCGCGATATTTGGGCACGCACGGAACATTTGAGTGACCAAGGAGTGAGAGAGGGGCAACGATGGAACAACAATGGGGCACAAATGGACAAATCATGGCGTCATAATGAAGCTATGATGAAGCAACAGCGGACCAACAATGGAACAATAATGGAGCAGCCATGCAGCAACCATGGGGACACAAGTATGTGACCGAACGGACGGACTGTCCAACCTAAACGTGTCGATTTCGGAGTCAAAACAGACGAATAATACATGCACCCTGCGACAGATTCCCATTCGAATGGTTTCGGATCGATTGCACATCAAGAAATGATAGCGGGATGTTCGACAGGATTGAGCAGAACTCCGCAGTAATCCAGTGCCGACAAGTGAATACGCACGCGCCCCTGACCACCACCACAATTTGAAAGCATTCCAGTCACGAGGTTTGATGCGTGCGTCTACCCACCGACTTGCGACTTTTTCGCTTCGGCTGGACCTTGACATTGCCATCGGTATATTTGTCACTGTCGGGCAAGACTGTCAACCCCTGGGCCGAGGATGCCAACTCGGGACATCTGCGAGGCGCCTGGCTTGGCGCCAGCGGGTGCCCTTCGCGAGTGGCTCCTGGCCGGCCGCCCAGCATCGCTCAAAACATTGAATTGGCAACTCTACAGATGATTCTCCAGGTGTAGCTGCATATCGTTTACCAATGGTTTGTCCTCATTCGCTGCTGTTAAACACTGAACGCTCGCCCGATGTGGCGCCCCGAGGAACAGTTTGTTTTGCAGCGGAGGCTCAATCATTGAAGCGGCGCCGCGGCTGGAAACATCATCAAGACTGGTGGTAAGGTTGTCATGATCACAGCATGGGCGCTGCGGAAAAAAAGATTTGCTTATGTTTGCGATATCGTTGGAAGGCGTGCGCAGAGCCAGCGAGCGGACCTTTCAAGCCGCTCTTTCAGTGCATTAAAGCGTAGCGGCCGTGGCCCCCCCCCCGCGCCCCGCTGGGGGGGGGGGGGCGCTTTCGCGGCCGCCTTCGCATTTCCGCGGGGGCTCTGCGCGGCGACGAAGCTGCGGAGTCACCTTTCCTGGGCCGCCTCCGCCCCGCAGACCTTGGCATTGATTGCCTCCTGTTCGCAGCCCTCCGCGGCCTGGGGGGGCGCGGCCTCGGCTTCCCTCGGCGCGCGAGGCGCGGCAGCCAGCGTTTCGGGCGTGTCAGACTGAGTCTAGCCCCCCATGGACGCAGCCGTTTTTTTTTTTTTGTGCTATATATATGTATGTGTTAGTATGTTAATAGTTTGTTCACTGAGCGGGACAGAGCCGCAATGGGCAGCCAGTCCTGCCGCCAAGTTGTTGCGCGACGTCGTCGTAGTCAACGGGGGCAGCGATGTCCACGGGGTTTGTCGGAGGCGCCCCTGATGGCGGCCGCTGCTTCGGTGACTTGCCTCTGCGATTCAATGGCGCTGTTCGCCTTGATGTCGTTCCTGTTTGAAACAGTGGCCTCAGTATCTGCGCTGCGAAGTCTATTGCCCCCCCCCCTGTAGGTCGTGGGAGATTCTGTGCAGGGCCGCAATTTGGCCGACAGCTTCCAGGGCGTTGCATGTCTGCCGCCCTTTTCCATTGGGAGGCCAATGATGTTTTCGATGGTCCACTGGTATGTCCCCAGTCGTGGAATCCCCCGTTGCAGTTTTGCGCAGATTCGGTAGCGCCCCAGCGCGACCGCGCAGCAGCAGCCGAGCCAGCCGATCATGGGGCGATATCGGAGTAGCAATGGGGCAATCATTGAGTGGTACGGGAGTTGGAATGGAGTAGGAATGGAGCAGGCATAAAGCGCGCATGGAGCTGCGACGGGGCAATAATGGGGCAATCTTGTGGCAAGAAAGGAGCAGACATGAAGCAGGCGCGGTGCGCTCGCAGACTGGTCGTAATCTGCGGCCGAATTTTCATTGGCAACATAGAACCACATCGATTCAAACCGCACGCACGTGTGACGCACAGCGATCTCATAAGTGGCTGAATCTGGAGTGCTAACGAGGTAGTAGAGCATTATGAACGCATGCATTTGCTGCAGGAGGAACGAACATATACTCAACTTGAAGTGGTAACTTATGAGCGGTCGGCGCATTTACACAGAATGCACGGTCGTCTAAGTCGCGCCGGGTTGCGCAGCGCGGGCAGGGACTGGTTAATGAGATTATTTGGACATGGTCCAGGCCAGGAAATCGTTCGCGTTAGATCCGCATGCAACTGGGAGTGGAAGGCGGGGACAACTGTCCTCGAATTGACTGCGGTATTTTGTTTCGCCCGGCCTGCGCCGGAAGCTGAAGTCAAATTCGAGCGCGATGTCCTCGCAGCAATTTTGAAGGGTTGTTTCAAACTCAGTTTATACACATCAGTGACACCTGCTTCAGATATAAATGGGCGCGTCGTCATGTGCCATGGCGCATTCACAGCGACTACCTCTGCAATTCTCATCGGCCGCTTGGGGCAAGCTTTTGCGCGATATTCCCCGCGAGTAGAATTACCTGCAGGGGCGCGAGGACTCGAATGCAAGTCGTAATTCATTTGCCGTGGGTTCACTGGTGCGCATTGGATTACGCGGCCAAATCGTTCGAGCCACGAAGTTGCCAACACCGTTTGGCGAGCTCTTGCGTCCTTCGGCGTGACTCTGCGGGCCATCAATATGCTTGACCTTTTCAATCTAAACGTCGCTGTCAGATATTGGCCGGAAATGGCCAAATTCGATGCAGTGAGTTGCGCTGAACCGTTGTTTTTTTGCACGGCCATCGCAAATGGAGGGAGGTCTGGGGGCGCGCTGCACCTGCTCGCGGGCAAATGCCAATGATCTCCATGTTTTTCAATGCTTGGGAACCACTGACGAGCAAAAACGCAGGAAAGCAAACATATCATGCTTCGCAATTTTGTTTTTTTGCTGGGCGGATTTTGATTCGCCGCGCGCCCCGCGTCGGGGAAAAGCGCGGTGCCCGCACAATGCGCGGCGACATGCGGGGAGGTTGTGCGATGGCAGGCGTCTGTGAATGCACAGTAGTTGAAAACCGCGATCACCTTAGACGGCCAAAGATGGCCCCGTGGGGCCTCCCAAGACAGTTCCCCAGATCGGGGAATCGCAATGTGTTGGCGTCGGCTTGTTGTGTTGTTGGAAACGTGACGAGGTCTTGAGTCGCGTTGCTATTTTTCTGTGTTCTTGGTGTGCCCAGCGTGCTGTGTGTTCTATGTGTACCCGCCGTGTTTGGTGTGATTGTTATGACTGGTGTGCCGCGTTTTTTCGTTCACCGCCGCCCCAAGAAGGTCGATCAGAACATTTGCCGGCCACTATCGCCATCCATCAGTTTGTTCGCCGTCATCCTCGTAATCCGTCGCAAGATGGGGGCAGTGAAAAGGAACGGCGCGGGGAGAGCAAAAATTGAGGGGTAAATTTGGATTCCCCGGAGGGAGAGCAAATCTCCTCCCA